CCGTGCAAACAAACATGTCCGTTCAACTGACTAGGTAAGATTGTTAACAAATGTATACAAAACGTGCACCACTATGAAAACAAAACACTTGTTATTATATACTGAAAGCGCTTTGCAAGTGTCCCACCGCACTGCCCACGTGTTCACGTGAAAAAAGATGAACAATAAATGACAAGTCTGACCTTCCGGGATAGGAGGAGGGCACGCGACCGATGGTATTGGAGGGGGAGAGTGGGGGGTAAAGTGAATTACAAAAACCCATAAAAGCGTTTCTACAATGACTAAGTATACAATGGGTATGACATTTTATATAATAACTAATATTAGGTATACCTTGATAAATAACTATAAATTAAAATCTCAATAAAAATATCCTTTACTCACCCCTATGCGCATATTAAAAACAGTTGTTTGTAAGCCGTATTATAATAACATACTACGAAATAAAAACGATTAGTCTCATTCAAAGATGCGATGAACATTTGTAAACATTTATAATGAACACCAAATATAAATATCATTAATGTTGTTACTTTGAATCGTACTGCGTAGGCCTATGTACAAGTATATATATATATTTCCTTTCATATATATAAAAATAATCGTCACAGCAAAATTGTCAAAGAGTAATATATGTATTTTTATTATCATTTATTAATCACAAGACAAGAGCAAGTATATTTTGTATCGAAACAAATATATAACGTTCGTCTTTGCGGCATAACATGACAATCAATCACCCAGTACATGAAAAAAAACAACAACAACACTTGTACGTAATAAGCTATGTGTAATAATCGATAAATAACAAAGAGATATAACGATTAAAAATAGATATCAATATAATATGAATAAAAATGTACATATATAAAATATAACAATAAATAATAATAATAATAATATTAACAATGATACAATAATACAGTAATTTATAACATGTACTAACCTTAAAAATTAAGTCCTTCCAGTGCTTCCTTCGAAATTCAAAAAAATCGTCGGTGAAATGCGTTGTTATAAGTCCTTGCTGTATTTTCATGTTACCGTCACTGTGTCATAACAAACACACAAAAGAGCCTAATTCAAGTTATTCACAATACCACACAAAAATAATGCAAACGGTCTGTATCAGAAGCACTGTACAGCAGGATATGTTGACGCGACCACAGTTGGAATGCAAATGGAGGACTAGAGCTTCCGCGAGAGGTAACACAAACAGTGGGAAGGAAGGATTTAGGGTGGTGGTGATTAACAGACTGTTTTATCGTCATTGATTTTGCAGAAGAAATATATAAGAATTTATAATTTGCACAAGTTTTTAGTTATTTTGGGAGTAATTGAAAGATGAAATGTGAGGCAAAGAAAGAAGAGGAGCATGTCGAGATAAATAGAAGGAATGAAAAAAGGATAAAAAAGAGAGAAGGGGGAATAGGCCGGGTAGCAAGAGCAGCGAGAGATGATGGGGAGGGGAAAGGGGGGGGGGGTCTGATTTTGTTATGTCAACATAACAAGACCTCACACTTTCGGTGTGCTGCTAACCTAACCTAATCCTATTTAGAGTAATAAATGCACCTACTATACGTAACAATCGTAATCATCACACACCGTGTATAAAATATACCATAGTATATGTCTATAAACAAGCAAAACCATAAAAATATAGCTGAACATACATATAGAAGAGGAGAGAGAGGAGAGGAGAGGAGAGAGAGGAGAGGAGAGGAGAGGAGAGGAGAGGAGAGAGAGGAGAGGGGAGGGGAGGGGAGGGGAGGAGAGGAGAGGAGAGCAAATATTATTGATAACATAAAATACATGTACTAACCTTCACAAAGATGTCCGTCCAATGCCTCGTTCGAAATTTTTGATACTCGTCCGTCCAGTGAAAATGACCGTTACAAAGGTTTTAAATCATCATCGCAGAGACACTACACACGAAAAATTTCCGCGCCGACATCGAGAATGTAAATGAATAACGCAAGCACTGGAAAGGATTTAGGGTGGGGTTGGTGGTGGTGGTGGTGGTGGTGGTGGTGGTGGTGGTGGTGGTGTGTGGGTTGAGTGAGGGTTGAGTGGTGTGTTGTTTTGGCACGACATCCACTTTTCATATTTTCTGTACCTCAAGCTAACCCAACATATCCTCCTTACTACTTTTGAATAACAAGGAAATGGAAGGCAACGTGCATGATGAGATAAATGGGAGAGAACCAAATGGATAAAAAGGAGAGAAAAGTGAATAGGCATGAGCAGCGAGAGATAACGGGTGGGGAGGAGAAGCGACAATGTTTGCTATGTCAACATAACATGACCTCACACGTGTCGTGTGCATTCATACAGCGAAGTAACAGCTTCTCTTACCACACTTACTTAAAATGAAGAATCATAATGATCACAAAACCTTTATAACTTAAATAGATTTACATATGTATTTGTGCACCAAAACAAATATATCACTCTGTATGATTATCTATGCGTGTTGGTGCACGCAGACACAGACGCACACAGT